GAGTCAGCTTTCATCTCTCAAGGATTTATATCTAGCAGGAAACTTGTTCACAGGATCAACTTATGCAAACGTTAGAGTTAAAACCAATCTAATTATGATTATGAATTATATACATTAATTAAAATACTAATCTTTTTTCGATACAGGTTTTCAATGGCTTTCAAGACTTAGTAATTTGAAAACTCTTGATTTAGGGGACAATTCTTTGAAAAATAACATATTGTTTCATATGAATGGTCTTTCATCTTTAAGGATTTTAAGTTTGAGTACAAATCACTTGGAAGGAACCACTCATATTCATGATAAACTTGCTTTATCTTTCTTTTACGTTCAAATCAATTGTTGTTTTAGAAAAAGGTGTTGCATATCATTTGCTTTAATATGAACTATTAATTATTCATTGGCATTGAATAGGATTGAATAATTTGACAAATTTGAAGAACTTGGATTTAAGCAGAAATAGAATTGAAAGCTTTCAACCATCAAAGCAAGGTATAAATATATATTTCAATTCACTTAATTAAGTTCTTATTTATGTGATCAATGCATAAAATTTCCGATTAACAATGGCATATAATAGAAATATTCTTCTACAGGAAAGGAGATGCAACTAAGGATGACCAATTTGGAGGTTCTTGATTTAAGTAGTAATCTCTTCAAGAACGACACTTTTGCCTTCCTTTCTGGCCTTCCAAGTCTAAAGTCTCTGAATATGGGGGACAACCAATTGCAAGGCTCAATAGATATTGAAGGTAAAGCTATTACAGCTTTTTTTTTTTTTTAATTCTGTTTTTGAACCTTTTTGCTCATCAAATAGGAACTTGCTTTATCTTTCTTTTACGTTCAAATCAATTGTTGTTTTAGAAAAAGGTGTTGCATATCATTTGCTTTAATATGAACTATTAATTATTCATTGGCATTGAATAGGATTGAATAATTTGACAAATTTGAAGAACTTGGATTTAAGCAGAAATAGAATTGAAAGCTTTCAACCATCAAAGCAAGGTATAAATATATATTTCAATTCACTTAATTAAGTTCTTATTTACGTGATCAATGCATAAAATTTCCGATTAACAATGGCATATAATAGAAATATTCTTCTACAGGAAAGGAGATGCAACTAAGGATGACCAATTTGGAGGTTCTTGATTTAAGTAGTAATCTCTTCAAGAACGACACTTTTGCATTCCTTTCTGGCCTTCCAAGTCTAGAGTCCCTGAATATGGGGGAGAACCAATTGCAAGGCTCAATAGATATTGAAGGTAAAGCTATTACAGCTTCTTCTTTTTTTTAATTCTGTTTTAGAACCTTTTTGCTCATAAAATAGGTAAAATCTCATATCACATTTGGGGATTTTTCCTCTTCACTTAAAGCTTTAGATTTGTTTTGCCGTTTACTTCATTATAGAGTCATTAAAAATATTGAGTAAAAGATTATTTGAGTAACCGGGCTAACATAATGATTATTTGAATTAAACTTGGACATAGAATTGAATAATTTGATGAATCTGAAGAGGTTGTATTTATACTCCAACAAAATTGAAAGCCTTCATTCCTTACAAGGTATGCATTTATATTTGCTCAATTAGTTAAGTTGTTATATATAATTAAATATTATGTAAATCTTTTTTTAGTGATGAAATTATGTAAACCTTATGTAGATAGTGGGAGACAGCTGAACTTGACCCATTTAGAAGAATTTGATTTGAGTGATAATCTCATTAATGACAACATATTTGCATCACTTAGCGGGCTTTCAAATTTGAAGTATTTGGATATAAGCTCCAATCAGTTAAATGGATCAATAGATATGAGAGGTAACATTACTTTTTTGGCAAAAATTTTGAATTTGTTAACAAAAATCTTAATTCATGTTTCAAGATGATATAACAAATAAGTTCATCTGTTTTTTTCTTTAATGATGAAATTATGTAAATTTTTTATAGATATTGGGAAACAGTTAAAATTGACCAATTTCTAAATGCTTGATTTAAGTCATAATCTAATTAATTATTACTTTTCAACCAAAATTTCAACTCTATTACAAATACTTAAAAAAAACAAATTTCATGTTTTCAGGTCATTTAATGACGTTTTTTTTTTTTTCCAGACTTGGGTGCTTTTATCAACTTAGAGGAACTGGATATGAGCTCTAATGATCTGAATGAATTTGTGGCTTGTAAAGGTATGGATTTAAATAAATTTTCTATTTTTATTTGAGAGGTTTATAATGATGTGGATGTTTTAATGATCAACAAATTTAGCATATTAAAATTTAATGCTCAATTTTTTAAAAGAAGAAATTAATTATTATTATATGCTTTTTACTACAATACTACAATTCTCTAATTATAATAAAGAATTATGTAAGAATCCACCATTTATAAGTGTGATCTTCACATAAAATTTTGTTAGACCTCATGCAATTTTGAATTGTGATTGCTTAATCGTGTTACAATGATTATAGGTGAAATGCTCTTATTAAAATTAATGCCCAATTTTTTAAAGGAAGAAATTCATTGTAATTTGATTACTAATTAGAAAATGATATATATTTGCCTTAGATAATTGCTTTCTTTAAGAAGTGTTGCAACGGCATATCAAATATTTTCCTTTTTGTTTGTATTACCTTGTTGTGTCTTAGAGTTGGACTTGTTTGCCTTTTGTCATTCTATTTAAGATTACTACGTATTCTTATTACCGTTTAAAAAATTTTGCCTTTTCATGTTACTGTTTTGTTTGATTTTCATCTTTTTGATTGTTTCGTATATTAAAATTTATATTAAAAATATTTAACTATTCAATATTCTTCTCTATTAAAAATTCATTTTGCATTAATCTTGAATATATAATCTTATCTACAAAAATGAAAATTTTCACTCATTTATTTTTTTCATTTACAGAGTATAAGAGTTTGAAAAAGTTAAAAGTTCTTCGTCTAAATAGGGTTTTTACCAATGGAAGCATTCCATTACTACTAAAATTAGTAGAGGCATTCCCGTCGGTTAAGACCTTCGATCTACAATGTAATTACTTAAACAAGACTATGGCTACTCAAGATCAAGGTAAGTCATTAATTTATTCCAGAAGGACTAAAAATTAGTAGATGTTTGTTGATTAACATCTAATAATACCTCCTATGCTATGATTACTTAGAATTGCATGTGTGGAGCAATGTGGAGGAAATACTTCTAGACAATTCTTATCTCAACAACAACATTTTGCAAAGCATTGGAGTATTCACTTCTCTTAAAACTTTGTCTTTACGTAACTGTGGACTTATGGGTTCCTTACCTAATCAAGGTAAATTAAAGACTTTATAATTTCTCCAATATAACTCATGGAATACATCTATTTCCAATAATCCTTTATTCCATTTCTTTCATCTAATATCTTTTATATATATTCTGTTTTGGAAATCAAAATTTAATTAAAATTTCTTCCATGAATTTATAAAATTTTCAGGTTGGTGCGATCTAAGGAACCTTAAGAGTTTGGATATCAGAAGGAATGCACTTGAGGGGATACTTCCTTATTGTTTGGGTAACTTGACATCTCTTCTTGAGTTAGATATCTCCAACAATCAATTTACTGGAAATTTGACTCCTTTAGCAAATCTTTCATCACTTAGATTTGTCTCCCTTTTAAGAAATCGTTTGCAAATTTCAATGCCATTCTCGTCACTTGCAAACCTTCCAAATCTCAAGGTTCTTTTGGCTGATGAAAACAAGATAGTAATGGAACCTAATTCCTTTCATACTTCAATTCCAAAGTTCCAACTAAACATCATCAGTTTGTCAGAGTGTATAATAGACAAAGGACTTAGTCTACAACCTCCTAAGTTCCTTTATTACCAATATGACTTGAGATATGTTGATCTTTCCCATAACAATTTCAGTGGAACAGTCCCGTTATGGTTGCTAGAAAACAACACAAAATTAGAAAATCTCTTCTTGTTGGGTAATTCTTTCACTGGTCCTCTCTTGTTACCACATCATTTTCATCCTAATGTGTCTTTAATTGACATATCTGAAAACAAATTACAAGGTCAAATTTCGACAAATATATGTTCAACTTTTCCAAATTTGGAATTGTTATTCTTATCTAAGAATGCCTTTGAAGGTAATATCCCTCCTTGTTTAAGTGGCATGAACACTTTATCAATTTTAGACCTATCGGACAATCATTTGTTTGGAAGAGTACCAGAAGAGTTGATCATGAGAAGCTCATTAGATGTTCTTAGGCTATCAAATAACAACCTAAGTGGAAAGATTTTTCCTTTGATGTTCAACAAAAGAAAGTTGTCAAGTTTGTATTTGGATGGCAATAATTTTGGTGGAGAGATTCCTGATATTGATGTCTCTACTACTGATTTTTCACATTCATCACTAGAGGATATTGATCTCAGTAATAATAGTTTTAATGGAAAGCTCCCAAGATGGATAGGGAATATATCGCATTTGAAGAGATTGGCTTTGTCAAACAATCATTTTGAAGGTTCTATTCCAATGGAATTTTGCAACTTGTTTAAGCTTGAATTTTTGGAGCTTTCTCAAAACAATTTATCTGGCTCTATTCCTTCTTGTTTCAATTCACCATTTTTGAGACATGTCCACGTGAAGAGAAACAGACTAAGTGGTCCATTGACACTTGCTTTTAATAGCACTTCATTAGTGACATTAGATCTTAGAGGGAATAATTTGACCGGTAATATTCCAAAATGGATTGGCACATTTTCTTCTTTAAGCGTCCTTCTTTTGAAAGATAATCATCTAGATGGTGGAATTCCAGTTCAATTATGCAAGTTGTATTCATTGAGCATCATAGATCTTTCTGGAAATATGTTTTCTGGTCCTATACCTTCTTGTTTGGGTAATTTAACTCTGGCAATGAAAAAGGAGAAGTCTTCTATGGATGTTTTGCATAGAGTAGTTTCAATGTATGATCTACCAATAAACATTCCATTTTATTTTTCACATGATTATCTTAGTAGCTACATGGAAGAAGGGATAGAGTTTACAACAAAGAGTGTGTCCTATTCATATAGTGGTGACATTCTTGAGTACATGTCTGGGATTGATTTATCTTGTAACAGGTTAACTGGGCAAATCCCACTCGAAATGGGAAATTTAAGTGAAATCCATTCGTTAAACTTATCCTACAATAACTTGGTCGGAGTTATACCTTTATCATTTTCACAACTTAAGCAAATTGAGAGTTTGGACCTTTCTTACAACAACTTGAGTGGTAGAATCCCAATACAGTTGGTTGAGTTAAACTTTCTAGAGGTTTTCAGTGTGGCACACAACAACTTGTCAGGTAGTATTCCAGAGCCAAAAGCTCAGTTTGGGACCTTTGATGAAAGCAGCTACGAGGGAAACCCTCTTCTTTGTGGGCCTCCATTGCAAAATAACTGCTTTAAAACTGAGTCACCACCAACAGTACCTACTACAACAGACAATGAAGGAGAAGGTAGTTTCATGGACACATATGTTTTTTGTGTGAGCTTTCTGGTTTCATATGTAATTGTTTTATTGGGAATTTTTGTTGTTCTATACATAAATCCATATTGGCGACAAGCATGGTTTTCTTTCATTGAGAGTTGCATCACTACCAGTCGCTACTCAATTGTGGGCAATTTTCTTGAGTTATGCATCTTCAGAAGATGTGCCTAGGTATTATGGGAGCTCTTATGATTTGCCTTTTGTTTGAATGTGGTGAAGATTTGGATAAAGTTGATTTTGTTGTCAGAAGAAGTTTGGTGATTTGATCTTTTAAATAGGGGATTTCTTTTAGCTGACTGTTCTGTTAAAATAGTTGTAGGAAGAGTTGTGGATTTTGCACTTTGAACAGAGCTTTATGTCTCTGTCGAAACTCTGTTTTTGGTATTTGTTTTGTTTCGAAGGAAGCCTATAGCTTTGTGTCTTATTGATTTTATTTTCTACACAAATATTCAATTCTCTATTCTCCATCATCTACAAGTTATTATTAATATCTTTTCCAAGTTATTATTCAAATTGGCAAATTTTTCCTCATTAGTTTTGACTTAGTTTTGAGCTTCTAGTAAATGATATCTGGCATAAATTGTAGCGAAGGCAAAGATTGCTGGCTATGGCCTACCAAGAACATTTCTAAAGTTGTATTGGTTGGCTTCATTTGTTTTAACCAGATTTTATATCGATCGTAAAAAGCTTTTTCAATTTATTTTCTTTGATGCTTAAAAAATTAGATTTTAAACAAAAACAATACTAATTGTATTAGTAAGAATTTGAATTTTAAATGCAATACATCACAATAAGTCAATAATTAAGAATATATAAAATTTTTTAAAAGAAATTCTATCATATTAAAGTAATATGAAATAGTCAAGAATGTGTTTTGTTTTTTATTATTTATCAATTTCTCATTTCTAGCTCTTTTAAAGAGGTTTATTTTTATTTAAAATTACTTAATATTTGTTGTCTTTCGGAAATTAGTATTAGTTTATAAAATGGGCCAAATAAGCATTTATTGTTGAAAATATCATTTTGATCGCAAAATGCAATTATTTTCTTTTATAGGGTTACAAATTATTCCAAAATAAAAAAAAAAATTAGGTTTATATATCTCATACACATGCAAACCCCATCAACTAAATAAATTAAATGTTGAATCTTCCAAAGCAACAATGAGATCATGACTTAGTAGTTATGTTATAAAGGGTGTTAGCCAATGAGATCATGACTTAGTAGTTACATTGTAATTTATTAGTTCATTATTCAATAATTATAATTTGATTATGATATAATAATTGATTATTCTGTTAATTATATGAATGTAATACTTGATTATGATTATAACAATTAAAAAAAACTAAAATTTTTGAATCTATTCTTTGCGTGGTTAATTTTTATTTTAAAAAAAAGCTTAAATAATATATACCATATAAATAGTGATTTCAAAAGTTCAAAGAGTTTCTCTTTAAAAAAAACAACCCTCATACTACTTTATTCAAAAATAAAAAATAAAAAATAAATTTAAAAAACATAAAAAAATAATAAAAATAAAACAGCAAAGGTATCAAAGGAAAAAAAATTAAAAAAAAAAAAAGAATAACCTCATATCTAACTGTAGCATTTCCATGAAAGAAAATGAAATAATGGAGTAAAATCCTCATCCTTTTTCACCGCAAAGAACTTATGTGTAAATTTGATCACATATAAACCAATAAATAATCATAAAATAAGTACACCTGGTCTACAAATAATTAATAATTGGTATACAAAGATTACAAAAAATTAAACACATTTTATTATTTCTAATAAAATTGAATTATATTAATTTTTTAAAATATTTATTTTTAAATCATTGATTAATGGAGAATGAGAAAAGATTAAAATTAATCTATACCTTACTACTAAGGATCCAGAACATCAACTTAACATTTGTAAATTGAATTACTTAATTTCATTTAATGACACTTATCCTAAAAAATCATATAGCGTTTGCATCCATGAGGTATTGGTTGGTTTTGTAAGGGGCATAGATATGAATATATATATATATATATATTCATAGAACTTTTTGGTTTTTTTTCTACATTGATCCAACTAAATTTAAATAAAAATAAATAAAAAATAAAAACTATATATATTCATAGAAATTTTTGGTTTTTTTTCTACATTGATTCCACAAAATTTAAATAAAAATAAAAATAATACAAATAAAATTTAATCTATTTTATAAAACAAAATACAAGTGAAATGACTAAAAAAATCAAATCTATTATACTATAATAGTTGTCCAATTATGTACAAGGATACACTCAAACAATTATATATCGAGATTAGCAGTTATAAAATAATGTTATTCAATATTTTTCTAATAATGGGATAAGATATATTTAAATTTATCATTTATATTTTAGATCTGGGGAAAGGAGATTAGGTTGGGTTAAATTAATGTTAGAGGGGTTTATCATTTATAATTGTTTCAAAATTATAATCTATTTTTATATTGTTGAATTATATAAAAAATGCTAATAATCTTGCAATCATTTGGTAGTTAATATAGCATTAAACTCCTAATTTTTATGATCATAATTTTATTCTTGATATATTCAAATACCAAAAAATTAAGAGTTTAAATTTATATTAGAATGATCATTGATAAGTACTATACATTTACCAGCATCAAATCAATATTGATTGTAAATCTTAACACTAATTAACTTATTTAAAAATAATTAATTAAAATAAAATTAAAAAACATTAGGACAGCCTAAATCGTTTTCTCAAATCTTCATTTAAAAAAGTTGATAAAAACCTAAGATAAAATGTTAGTCACTTATAAAAAAAAAACAAAATTCCCAATGAAGATTTGATTCCATTCTCTTTTGTTGTTTGCTATAGATGGCTATAACTTCTAAAAAATGATAAATATTTATGGAAGAGATATCAGTGCGGTGTTGTTCTAAGAGACTGCGAGGGTAATATTAGAAGTTTGTTTTATGGCCCTCTTGGTGATCAGGAGTCAAATACTGCAGAAGTTTTGGCCATTAAGACTGCACTTCAAATGTTTTCTTCTTCACCTTGGCTGGGAAAGGTTGTTCTAGTTTTGAAATCAGATTCAAAAGTAGCAGTGAGTTGGGTGCGTAATAAGAATGCCAGACCATGGAAACAATGGCTGATATTTGCGGAAACTTATAAGCTAGTGGAAATCATAGGAAAAGGTTAAGTTTGGACACATTTTTGAAGAAGCCAATTACTTTGCTGATTCATTGGCAAGGAAGGGGGTAGACAGTCTTAGTTTGTTTTATGCATGGCTGTAATATGATAATATTTCCTGTGGTGAATAGGTAGTTTCTGGAAATATTGCTATCAGGTGCAAAGACTGTTTCTGATCAATAAAATTTTTTTGACTGAGAAAAAAAAAGAACGAAGAGAAGTTTTCAATCCATTGTTGATTAAAAACCTATAGCCTCATCTAAAAGAGGCAATTTTTAATCAAAATTAATGAAAATTTTGAGAAGATGAGAAAAGAGAGGAGAAAATTGCTAGAGCTTCTTCATTTTCTCATTAAAGCTCTATTTCGTTTTTTTTTTTTTCAATTAATTGTTAGTTATTACTAGTTGAATATGTTAATTAAAGAGAAAGGTTATTATGGATTAGTTTGGTTTCACTTTCATACATAAATAGGTTAGTTAAGGATTAAAGGTTATTATAAATTAATTTGGTTTCGCTCTCATAGAAGCGTGATATTAGTTTCAATCTTTTAAAAAATTATAATATGGTATTTTATTATTGATTTTCAAAAATTTAGTTTTAGGATCATTATGATCCTAGTGAAACCCAAAAAAATATATAGTATAAATTTTTTACATATAATTAAATATTATATGACTTCTTATTAAAAAAAAATTTAACTAAGCCATCAGTTATGTGGGAAAATGTCTTTGATTTAAGAAGGGATTTCTATTCGAGCCATTGCTAAGAAAAATGGACATTTCGTGAGGAATTGAGAGTGTCACCTAATACATCCTTCATGGCAAATAAAGAGAACAACCAATGCTTTTTTTTTCTTTTCCTTTTTGCTATTTTTTCACAAATTTTGGATTGCCATTTTTGTTTAATTTGGGCTTAGAAAGCCCTAAAATAATTTGGGTTGCCTTTCCTTTTCTTTTTTCCTATTGGTCTCTTTTTCTTTTTTTGTGTTTTGTAAATTTTTTTTTACAAAAATACAAAAAAGTGGATATATATATCTAAAAAAGTGCATGTAGGCAGATTTTTTTTTTTTTTAAAGTGGATATAAGCATGTATCTTTTAATTTTAAATTTTTTATAATATTTTATTTGATTTTTTTTTATCAATTCTCCCAACTAAACTTGTGTCATTCATTTGACTCATAACGTGAGTTTTAACCAAAAATTTTATATTAGCACTGGAACTTTAACATAGTGCAAAACATGTTTTGAACAAAAAATTGTGTTCTGAAAAAAATAATATCTAAAAAAAGATGCGTAATTTTTTTAAATTGAAAACACATTTGTATCTTTTATTTAAAAATTTATAATAGATATATATTTGCCAATTCACCCAACTAGTTGCCTATCACTTGAGATAGTCAATCAATCGGGATGTATGACTATAGATATTCTATACTAATATTAGAGGGATGTTATACGGTTAAAACCAAAATATCTATGTCGATCAAACGCAAGTAAGCGATGTTAAAACTGCAGTAAGCCTCAGGAGTAGAGGGAAACAACAGGAGGGTGTGGAAAAGAATATGGTCTCTGCAGGTTTCAACCAAGATTAGAGCTTTCATGTAGTGGGTTTGTCATGATATTATATAGCTAATGGTTAACTTGGCAAGAAGGCAATTCCAATGGAAAAAACTTGCTTGCGGTGCGGGGTTGGTGAATGTCGATGAGCAACAAAGTGTGGGACACCTAAACTATTAGTGGGAGATGATAACGAAGTGCAGTAAGAGAGTATAGGTTGGTTCCCTGAGATGATTATGAAACTTAAGCACAATTGTTGCGATAACATGATGGACAATATGGAATAGTCGAAATTATGAGGCTCTCGGAGAGCAAAGGAGGAGTTCCCTCGGGTCAGCAACATTCGCCAAAACTTACTTGCTGGAATTCACCAAGCTTAGTAGCAGCAGATCATAATTCTGCAAACGCCAAATGGTATCTCAAAAATGAAAACTCCCAGTTAGTGACTGCTATAAAATAAACTTTGATGGGGCCATTGACAGAGAGCAAAAAATTAAAATTATAATGATAAAATATAGTTAAAGGATATTTTTTCTTTTAATTTTCAAAAAAACTACGTACACATCTAAAATCACATAAATTTTTTTTAACTCACTTTTTTTTTCTCATTTTTCACCTAGAACATTATCATTTTCGATAGACTAAAAAAAGTAATAATCTATATAGATTAAATATGACAAGACTCAAAAATGTTAAAATAAGTTATCTTATATCTACTAAATTATCAATATCATGTAGTCTTATATTCAAGTTGAATCTTTTTATTTACTATCAATTAATTTTAAGTTGGATACTTAATATAATATCAGAGTCAAAAAATTTTTTCTATTGTTCTTTTTTAATTTGTTACATGAAAATTTTCTTTCATTTTCACCTACATGTGACGGGGTTTATTAAAATGAGTTAGTTTATATCTAATAAATTTTTAATATTTTGTATTTTTATATTCAAGTTGGATTCCTTCACTTAGTATCAATTGATTTTAAATTGAATACTTAATAAAAAACATACTTACACTGAATCACTAAAATATATGAAATCTTTGTTTTATTTATAGGATAGATGTTTTCAATATATATAT